AAATTTCTTAGAAAACATTTTACCCACGTGATCCCATCTCGGTATACTTCTAAGCGGGTTCATTGACCTCTAAGTTCGGGACTGTCACGTGGAATCCCGCAGCGGGTTTATGTTATAACACTCTTACGTAACATCTGTATTCTTTGATAACAACTTGATAACTGAGCCCGTTAAATAAACTACGTCTTAACATATGACAGGGATATAGATTAAAAATGAATAGCGGAAGGATTTTAAGGAAGAAGTCAAACAGAAAATCTAATCATTTTAGCTATCCTTATCTTTTTATCTGGTCATCAGTTTTAGGTTGAAGTAGAATATTCTCCTTTATTTTATTAACATTTTAATGCTATTTGTCGCGTATTTAAGAAAGATATGACAAAAAAATTAAACACTAACAATCGTCACATCACTAGCAAATATCATCTTGGTTGTTACAATGCAAAATATGATTTATTGCATAAATTATATCTCATAGATAAATTTTCACTTAGTTGATAGCAAAAAGGGAATGCAATATTCGCGGGAAGTATCAGACCTCGGTTTAGATTAAATTTCATGTAAAAACTAGTGCTGTGACTTCGCACGCATTCCGGTCTCACTGCGGTAATGATTTTCTAAGGACTAGTTTCTGTCCTTTGCAGGAATAGGGTTGGTCGATGTTTGATATCGATTCGATTTTTTAAATTGTTTCGTTGCTACGAAATGGCTTTATATTCGATATTCAAATTTAAATTTTACTTATTTTTAAAACATTCTATTTTTGAATATTAGAAATAATAATTTGTTTGATTTTGTTTGTGTGTTGGTACTTTAATTTTTTTGTTTTAAATTGGTATCTTATTATTATTAAATATAGCTTAGTTTGTATAATTTAATAATACAATTAAAAAAAACCATAGAATTATCGTGTTAAATTTTATAGTGAAATAAACATTCAGTATTCATAATATCGTAAGTACGTGTCGTTTTGAAAAAACGTGACTTAATCGCACGAAAAATACTAAAAGGCATAATAATAAAAGTAGCCACAAAAATGAGTAACTAAACAACAAATTAGTCAATAATATAAATTGGCTTATTCAAGTATTTAGGTACTAAGGTAACATAAACTTGAAGATTAAGATTAAAATCACTTAGATCGTCTATAAAACGCGTTCAAAGAACATGTCTTTTAGCACCTATTGTATTGGCTCGTGACAATCGGTTGTTTTGACTGTCAACTCATAATATCCTCTCAATGGCTATTATTCAATCGGAATGCAAACGACTTCGTGTAATTGTCTCATTATGTTTCTAAATACATATCATATAACATTAATGTTTAGTTATATACTACTGTTTTCTGTTACCCTGGTACTCAGATTCTATGAACCGTTGGAAAAAACTTCATAAAAACGTGTATAACGCACAAATTGATTTTTAAAATTTACTTTAGTTAATCGAGTTAAACATTTTGTTATACAATTTGTGGTCATATCCCATGAAAATGATAATTGGAATGATTCCGTTCTTTTCGAAGAGTTGAATGCCCTATATTGCACCTTTTTTTTCAGAGGGGACTGCTTTATGCATACTCCGTGCCCCGGGGGGTGTCACGGTAGTTATGTGGGATTCTCTTCCAGATGGGAAGCATACCCACTAAACCCCTCTGTTCCTCCTACACAGGATGGCGAGGTCACGGGCACGCTTTCGCGTTCGTCCGCAACCCCGCTTGCTTCAGCTGCCGAGGCACCCTATATTGCACCTACCGTGATTTTCTGTGACCAAAATCTCCGTTTAAACCATCGCGTTATCTTTTTTTGTCAACCATGAAAAAAGGGCTATGTTTTATGCAGAAATATTGATATCAGAAACCCACGATAAGTATAAAAAGAGTACAGCTCAATTATTAACTACAACTAGTTAATAATTGAGCTGTACTCTTTTTACAAGTAACGTAGAATCCCATTGACCGTACCAATTCTTATTTATCGTAGTATTATAGTGTAAACATGACTTGCATATACCAATGAAATCGAAACTTAGTACCAAGCCACTGCATTACCAAACATTGCTTATAAAAACTACAAGTATTATAAAAGTTGTAAGCTTTTTGCCGTAAATCGAAAGTGAAACCAAATAAAACGGAAAAGAGTGTAAGGAATGCGGGCATCATTTAACGAGTTATTTAACTATTAAACTAATGTTTTTATAAGCGGTTTGTAATGAGTTAAAAGGCGTTAAATACGATAGAAGGATTGTTATCGGAAACTTGATAAAACTGTTTGTAGGCAGGTGATTAGTGTCAAAGGATTTTTCAATTGACCTGTTAAGTGGTCTTCTGTAATTTGTTAAAGATTGTGAACTTCTGTAGTTAGGTGTCTTATATATGCGAAGCATTTTTCAATTATTTTTATAATATATAAAAAAAGAAGTATAAGGGAGTTCAACCGTAGTAACATTAATAGGAACTTAATGTACATTATAGCAAAAAAATGTCTCAAAGGTCGGCAACGGATCTGCGGTTCCTCTGGTATTGCTCCATGGGCGTCGATGAACACCTCGGTGTTCCCGCTGCTCGTTTGCCCCCTTCTTTATATCATAAGATGGCAACCAAGCGAGCGGCCACCTGAAATCGCTGAAATAGCGAAGTGACCGTTGCCCATAGACATACGCAATTGCATATGTTGCTTACCTTTAATCGTCGGAGGAGAGGATGCACGGAAAGAAAATATTTTCCCTTCCCATGCACTTCCACTTCCCATCCTTTCCTTATAAGAAAAAGGGTGGGAAGGGAAAAAGGACTAAATTAGGCCTCCGGGACGCACACTCATCAGACGAAACTTCTTCTTCGTCTTCTGTGGTCGTGGTATTTCACCGGGTGTGCCGGGCCAATTCGTGCGAAGGGCTCTAACACTGTTAAATATTATTCTTCCCTTCCCTTATAAAAAAAACAAAATGTACATTTTATTCACAGGACAGTCATGAGAATAATTAATCTTCCTTTTCCGATGTTTAAGAAAATAAAGCTTTATTTATAACTCTGGCAACAATTTAGCTTTATCTCAGTACAAACAAACATATTGACGTTCGAGCAAAAATGTTTACGGAATGAACGTTTTTCGCACGATATGCTCCGGAATATTTCAGTAACGCATTGTTTGTGCAGTTGCAGCGTGGGACCGGCTCACTGAAGGTCGTTGAAAATGCAAGACTTGGTAATTAAAGATCCGTACCAATTATACTAATATCTGGTACGTCTGGTATCTATTAAAATAATCATCAATGTGCTGAATAACGGTTTCGTTTGTACTAATGCACAAAATATACTAGATTACTAAATATTAGCTCCTAAAGTAACATCAAATTAATGTATACTTACTTCGACTCTGATAAATTAACAAATAAATAAAAAATTGAAAATATCATAAATAAAAACAAGATATATTTTAGAAATCAGTAACTTTTAAATGCAGTATTAATTGTAATAGTTATAGCCCTCGAATTTATTTCCGTACCAAAACTCTTAGCCGTACCAGAAGTGAAAATAGGTATATGACCAACACTGGTCAAGCGATATTTACTGAGGCGCGTCCTTGCCCATTGTTAGTATGCAGATTGCCTAGATCTTTGTGCGCGGAATTATCGATAACGTGTAGTAATTCACTGCAAACTTGGCCTTGTTTATTTCATAGACAACACACCATTGTAAGTATTTTTATATATTTTATACCTTAAAATTGAGATAAGAATCTGATTTAGAAAGTTGAATTCTCTTCTTAAAAATGAAAGTAATTGTTATTCAAAAAGCGAATTTAACTTTTCCTTAAAGGCAACAATTTGCGGTCTCTCTAGTGTTGCGGATACCCAAATTTCTCGTTTAAATAAAATACGTATTATTAACCACGATTGCAATACGTTGGTTTAGTTTAAACTTTACAAAATCTTAGTAATATTATAAATGCGAAAGTTTAGATCGATTTAGAAGGATTTCGCTGAATGGCGTCGATGTAGAACATAGTCTGGAAGAACACATGAGTAAATAATTTTTTTATAACTCCGCGCGGACAGCATCGCGCGCGACATCTAGTATTGTGATAAAATAACAAAATTACTAATCCATTAAACATTCGTAATAATATTTTGTATATATTTCATTTGAATTAGACATGTTTATAATAATTAAAGTAATTTATAACCGTTTAATGTATACATATCGTAAAGTAAACAATATGAGACGATTGTTATCAACACTTACGACTAAAATAGTTCAAAGGTCAAACAGGCAAATAATCTAGATATAGAAAACAGAATTGTACTTAATAATAGTGCATTAAAGATTAAAAAAAGTTTTTATGTAAATTCAACCATAGATAAAATTAGTCTATCCAAAGACAAAGAAATTGATTTTATACGCAGGCGCGAGACTCGCGCATGCGTACTACGAGAACTCGGCAACCATATTTATTAGAAATTGTAGGATATGGATAAATTAATCAAAAAAATTTCTAAATTAATCATTGACAATTTCATCATCATCTTGTCCCTTTTCTACCTACAGTGTGTACTACTCTTACATTTTGTCTAAGTTTATTTCTTAATGTAGTGCTTAAGTCTAATGCATATCTTTTATCATACAATCCATCCATACTTTCTTTCGTCTTACTTTTGTAACTTTCAAATTGTTAAGAAAAGAGGATCATACGAAAAATAATCGAATCTTTTATATTTTTTTAGATTTAAAATGTTATTTTTAGATAAAATGTGTATGATACACGAAACGTCGTTACGATCCAATTGAAAAGATTTTTTTTTTACTTTTTTTTCAATTTTAAATCCAAAAAGAAGTGCGTTCATTTGTTGAGTTACTTTTGAAACCTGCAATTCCTTACCCTTTTAGTCTTTGCTTTAAAAACTATAAATAAAATTATATTTATGGTGTTCCTAGTATAATGCTACCGTGATTTCGAAACAGCTGCACTTTATTGATTTTCTATCTGTCTCGCTCGCACAACGTCAGTCTTTCCGCTGTCATTTGCCAGTTGACAATGATGCTAACGTAAAAACATTTAGTTTTGTTTACACCAGTTTGATATTGTTATTTTATTGTGTTTGTGGCACGAGTTATAACATACTGATGGTGAGTGTTACTAAATTACATTTCTGTTTGAAATTGATAAGGTTGCTATGTCGACAATATTGTTTCGAAATACTACCGCTGTTTACAATGTTGTAAGTGATTTCCAGGCAGAATCCTTTGTAATAAGTTTCCTTGTTTTCCATTATTTTTTTGGATACGTAGCTTCTAATATAACCGTGGGTTTATACAACCAAAACCTCCGTTTAAAAACATGCTATCTTTTGTCAAAGATGACAGGACGATATGTTTCATGCAGAGATTTTGTTTTGGTTGGTTTTATTTTATTGTCCATTTCCAGACCTTGGAAACAATTATTTCTGTACATAGGTACAGAAAATAGTTCAAAGGCATAACCTTAAACTTCGTATTAAGGTCGATACACTATATATAGGTACATTTGTTTATTCTCAAGCTGCGAAACAACTACATAGGCAGGTGTATTATAATTATGGAATTGCGTAAGACATAGGAACGAAGTTATTTAGAAAGTGGTGTCATTGAACTTGAATATCGGTTGCCCAAACGTGTGGCATAGATCTAAATCTATGGCAGGTGGATTCGGAAATCTATCACCTGTCTAACCTTCGATTGTTAAATCTGCCTACTTACTTATGCGACCCTGGTACTTTTGTGAAAGCTTTGCTTGAACCTTGAAATATTTAGCCTTGGAAGAAACACCCTCTTTGATTTCCTGTATCGAATTTACACATTTTCGATACTAAAGGATTTTTTGGTAAAGGTTGATTCTTGACAGGTGAAATACAACAATCACAATGAAGACCAGGGTTTAGTGGAAGTTATGCCGCGTTTCGTCTGATGAGTGTGCGAGCCGGAGACGGGTAGGAAGGGGAAATCTTTTTGTGCGTTCTCTCCTCTGTCGAATAAAGATAGGCAAATGTGGATGACTGTGGGCAGCGGTCACTTCTCTACTTAGGTGATTTTATGTGCCGCCTTATACTTTAACAAAAAACTTTTATAGATTTGAATTGGAACTAGTCCATCTCGTAAGACCACGAAGACCTCTGTTTAGTAAATGCATAGATATGGTTCTCGAGTTTGTCAACCCTGGCCTTGTAACGGCACGTGTAAGATGCATTATCTGAAGGTCATTGTCCGATTAGGGGGAGCAGCATCTAACTTGCACACACTTCTGTGATACCACTATCCCCCACTCTCCCCTGTAGGGTAAACATCCGGGCCCGTGCGTGGAACAATACTCCCTGGCTGATAAATTTATGGTCTGTTATACTTCTGACGTATAATCACGTGTGACCTATATTGTCTCAGAGATGACATGTTTGAAGAAGATTATACTTTTTTTATAAAGTAAATGAACTTTAAGTTATAAGTGACTCACGTGTTTCTTTTTTGGAAGGGTGTTTTTACCTATTCAGCTGTCTATGGGCTAAACCCATGGATTTAAAAGTCAAAATTGTATTCATCTCTTATTAATTTAATACTTGATTTAAACAATTGCCATTTTAAGAACCCAATAATATTGTTTTTCATTGCCCATTTTATTTGTCGTATGTTTTTAATAATTAGGCCTTTATACTAGTGCATGATGCTTAAAAATCCTTTTATCCTAAGTACATTGTGTGGAGGTGCTCTTACGTGACATACGTATAACCCCCTCGTGTGGGCAGGTCACGACACGCTCATCGCATATTCTTGTCTCGCATCTTACATGTGTAGTGTGTACTCTACCTTATAGTCTGCCGATTGACATTTCCTTTGACCTATTGTTTGTTAAATTGTTATAATGTCGATGGAATTCTGGTTACAATAACATAGTAACTGTCGCAAGCATTAAATAGTTACTAAGGGATTGCCTTAATGTAGATTCAGTTTGATAAATACACTGATTGCCGCATAGTTAATTAATTGGCCAATAAGTTAGCCTTTACTCTAGTAAACCTTTAGTATAGATTTTAGTATCTTATGTGTTCTTCCAGACTATGTCTTAAATGTATGTCAAATTTTACCAAGATTCATTGATCCGTTCCATCCATCCATATAGACTTTCGCATTTAACAAAATTGTTACTGGATTTAATAAATTACATGCTTTTGCGTGCACTCAAATAGCATTCTGTTCCAACTATTGTACGTAATATGAGCGACAATATTCATAATATAAACACATGTGTGATAAAACTGATTCAAAATTTCGCTCCCCTGTGTAAACCAACCCCAAAGTCAGGCATAAAATCAATACAACGAGCACGCGCACGCGCACCGTTAGAAGATCGATATTGTCTTTAGTTCGCCCCCCGATGTACATCTGCTCTCACTTTCACTAAAGGGCCCGTTTATTATTACATCAGTTTAACTGCAGTTTATACTATGCCAGTTAAATGTTTAGCTTTTGGTAGAAACGTATTTTGAAAATAATATTTATTATAGACGAAGTTCCATACGTTGTTGTTATACTAAAAGTAAAATAATGTCGGACATCTGGAAAAAATAATATTAAATATGTGCTAGCAAAAAGTTTCGCTTACAGTGGGTTTCTGAGATCAAAATTCCCGTTTAAAACATATTAAATTATCTCTGTTTTGTCAAATATAATGACAGGGATGTTTTATACAGAGATATTATATTTACCTTAGAAACCTGTTGACCCGATTAAGACTGGAACGAATAAGTTGAAAACTTAAGTTACATTTTGTGAATACAATGTATATTTTTTTAAATAAGTCACGTCCTGATGTCCACTTAAGGTAGACGTTGATTTAGATTTATTTATGACGCACTTTACGTATTGTAGACAATAAAATCTATTTTCTTTAGTAATTTTTGTGACAAGCGTAAATTAAAATGTAAGTAAGTAAACAAAAAATTTGAGGAAGTATTTCTTATCCAATCTATTTTAGTTTAGAGGGGTGAGTGCGTACGTTAGGGGATGGGGATGTTTGTTTAAGTCGGATGCGGAGCGAGATTTAGTTTCCTGCTTTCGTATTTATGTTTTTGGAATTGAATTAAAAACAAACTTTGGTAACGTTTGAGAATTATTTCGAATAGAGATTAATTTGCGTCATAATTTATCTTTATCTTGTTTTCTTTAATGTTTTTTTATTTTAATTCTTTTAATATGTTATGGCATCTGACAAAATTTTACATATTATTAAATTGTATTGTCTGTATGTAATACAGAAAAAAAATCATATCTACATACGATGCGTTTCCGTAGCTGATAATGAAAACCTTATTTAATTTTTTTATCTGTCTGTCCGTCCTCAAGACCGCGTTTGTTCCGGGTAATCTCCGGAACGGTTGGTCCGATTTTGACGTGACTTGGACAAGAAGGTACGTGAAGCAAACGGACATATGATAGGCTATTTTTTCTGCGCAGAGGATGTAGGGCCCTAGAAATATATAACGGAAATAAATCAAATAAATATTGAATCTTCATATCCATAAAATATAGGAAATTGAAAGTTTACGACAGTAAACCAATTTAAGCTCCAACCGGGACATGGTAAAGCGATGTCACTACATCCGGTACTCGCAATCACTTTATGGGAGTTGCGCACGCGCATTGCTCATATTAAATTGATGATATGAGTTTTGACTGCCGTGACACATATCGTTGTCTCTGTTTTTATCAAAGAAAATGAAAGAGATGTCAATATAAATTATACATCCGAATGTGATTGAAGTCGAAGCCTAAACAATGTTGATGTGACAGCTTTTAAGGACTTTAAAAGAGCTTTTTGATGTACTTAAAGGGCGATCGTGGAGTGGAATTTTATTAAGATGTTTGTAATCGTTCAATTAACTTTAGGTTAAGTTAAAGTTGATTTCCACTGCTGATAATTTATTCTATAAATATATAATTTGTTTAGACAGTGGTAGCTCACGGTTATATTTGATTTATAATATAACTAGCGCCCGCTCCGTCAGCGTGGATTTTGAATAATCGTAATTAATAGCCTATGTGTTCCAGACTATGTTCTATATGTATGTCAAATTAAATCGAGATACGTTCTTCCCTCATGGAAATACCTACAAACAAACATCCATCCATCTAAACCGCATTTATAATATTAAGACTATCTATTGCCCGCGACTTCATTCGCGCAGAATAAGAAAGAAGGATGAAATAGTTATATATACTATATTTTATTTGACGCTATGTTCTACGAGATGTGTTTTAACTATTGTAGAATTATCTAGCAGTGCTCGTACATATTTCCGAGATCATAGTTAATCTTAAGTTTTTTTCCAGCCAATGTTCTATAAATATATAAATTTCATCCAGATCTATGAAGCCGTTCTGATGATACTAATAAATATCCATCCATCTAAACATTCGCATTTATAATATTAGTAAGATAGTAAAATACTTTAGTTAGCAATGACACACTTGGCCAATGTCTCAAGTGGCATTAAATATTTTATATACATTTTATGTGAATAGAACGGTCAGTACATAACTCTAGTTGATTGGCAACCTTCACTAAGCTATTAGTTATACGTATTTATTGCAATATTATGAGAAATTCGTGTCTGTATAGTGTTATTAATATACTATTAAGAATTAGTTAATAGATAAATATCATTTGAACTTATTAGGGTTGCGTACCTCGAAAGGAAAAATACGGAACCCTTATAGGATCACTTTGTTGTTGTGGCTGTCTGTAAAGACCCTTTTTTACTATAAATACTATTGATTTTAGTTGTAGTAATAAAATATTCAATAGTAAAAGAATTATATGGAATTTTTAGTCAAGCTTTTAATATGCGTTTTAATTTTTTTTTTTTACATTTTACATAAAATAAATTTGTTATCATCTATAGATTTTGAAAGAGATATTACTTCAAAAAGATCTGTTTAAACACAACCATCTAGATATTGTTTAGTGAAGCTAGTGTTTTAACCCTTTGACGGCCGGTGTTGTTATAAGAGACGACAAACGAGGTTCAGGTTAAGCGCCATCTGCGATCGGCCACCTCAAGCCCGGTGAAGCTGTAAATGCCTCTTCAAGGCAAACAGTG